CTAGACTTATTTGCCGACCCCTGTACTAGACTTACAGCACCTGACCAAGCGCCTCAACTGTGGGAGATAAAGGAGAATTTGTGTTGCATAATATGTATCTTTAGGGCCGGACGATATGGCCAAACAAAAATCAGATCATTCGATATCGGCAATTATCACGATACTTTTCAAATCATTATTTATTAAGTTTAAAGTGCTCCTGAGTGAAAGCTGAAGAAACCAGATTGTTAATTGTGGTTTTAAACTATTCTTTATGGTAAGAACATGACAAACAGTGGATCTGAGGCAGAACATTCAAAATGATTACGATAAAATCTTTTTTTTTCAACAAATATGCATGAGTAAAATAAAGTAAACCTTTTTCAGTCCCTCTTCCTCAGCAAAATAAAACATTAATATAAAAATGAGGTGCTAATTTGTTCGTGATTCAAATTAATTAAATCAGATCTTTACTGAACATTTGTTGTTGTTGAGGAAAAGTATATCGTGATAATTATCATTAGTGTTTTAAGCCCTAATGTATCTTTTGTATTCTGATACATACTGTATTTTCTCTTTAGACAAACATATACCTTTTAATGTAGGGCTGCAACTAATCATTATTTTCATTTCATTAACCGATGAATCTATCGGTTATTTTCTTGATTTTTATCAATAAATAGTTTGTCCTTAAAATGTCTTTACTTGTCTGGCCAACAGTCCAAACACCAAAGATGTTGAGTTTACAGTGATAAGAATCAAAGAAAAGCAACAAATTCTCACATCTGAGAAGCTGAAAACAACAGAAGTTGGTATTTTTGCTTGGAAAAAGGACTGAAACAATTAACCCATTCTCAAAATAGTTGCTTGATCAATATTCTGCTGGTCGACTAAATAACTGAACAATTTATCGAATCATTTCTACCTGAATGTTTTGTATGTTGCTCTTTACTAATAAAAAAACAACAACAACAACAAAAAAACATACACCACATGTGATGGTAGACCAAGGCCAGAGCAGGTCAAGGACAGGATCACCTGCAACACAGTGTGATTAAACACAGTGTAAACATGTCTTAAAGGAAGCAAACAACGGTGACTCAGCTTTCCTCACAGTAATAGCTGACACTAAGTGGACTCAATTTCAGTGGACTTAATTAGACATGAAGAGCTTGATAAATGAAGGTCTCACTAATTGAGGACATGCATCGTGTTTCTTAGCTCAAGTTGAATTTTAGCGTGAATCCTGCTTCTGTCGATCAAAGACGTTAGACTGCCGATGCTTCACCGCCTGCTGATATTAGTTGCATTTATAATAAAAAGGTTCTTCATGTGAAAAATGTCTTCTCACCAGAATAGAGAAGTGAAGTCATTTCACACATGGGTGGTTACAGTCAGTATATCACATGTAGACCGACGATGTGGCCAATAATGTGATGGGGCTCTCTGGTTGGGGTTTTGGCTGATAAGTCAAATGTTTAAACAAAAAAACTCGCCTAACAAATTCAGCTTAAACTGAGACAATTTTTTTTTTGAGGACAGAATTTCAGTGAGCAAAACTTCACATCAAAGCGTGTGTGTGATGCTAGTCCTCAGAAATCGTTTTCCTGTCCAGCACTGACACACAAATTACAACATCTGAACCTAGTTGATCTGGTTTTGGTGTTAACTATTGTGTAATCTGCGATCTGTATTTTCTCTAGGCTTTGTCCAGTTCCTCCAATATTACTACCAGAGCGGCTGCTTATACAGGCTGCGGGCTTTGGGAGAACGAAATCAGCTGGACCTCACAGTGGGTAAGTTGAAAGCTATTTTTGGTGGTAGTCATTTCAATCGTTTGAACTCATGAGCCATCTGCAACGCCATGTCTGGAAAAAATAGGGTAAAGGTTGAGAGATGGCAGTTGTTAACATCAATGAGCTGTCACACAGATGTAGGAGTAACTTGAGTACGGAGTCACTGAGCACGTGGGAGAAGTTTGCTTTCAAGTTTTCTGCCTTTCTTTTTTTCTTAAACCTAACCCAGTAGTTTTGGTGCCTAAACCTAACCCAGTAGTAAGGCTTTCTGGCAGAAATCCCTGAGAGAAAGCTTCTCCCATGTGTCCTCTCTGATGACTGATTGTTGTGCAGAGAGTCGACTGGGTAACAGTGTAGTATTCTGTGTCGTGTTGTCCTGAGGTCACTGTGACAATTTTGTGTCTCCGCAGAGGGATTTCAGTCCTGGATGTGGAGAGGCCTCACTTTCCTTTTGCCGTTCCTCTTTTTTGGCCATGTAAGTCAAAACCTCTACTTTTGTTTTAATATCAAACGACATGTGAGCTCGGGCAAACACATTTTCCACCAGCATTCATTGTTTTATCTGTACAAAAAGACATTTTTAAACAAGAGCACACAATTGCAGAAATATGCAGATCAAAGCGATATTTCCTTGTGCAGCCAGAGTGTGGAGGATAATACGTCCTCTTCCTTCACAGTTTTGGCAGCTGTACAACGCAATGACCCTGTTTCGCTTGGGAGGACGTGACGACTGTAAGGAGTGGCAGGTAAGGATCGCAGTGGCAGATCCATTGTCTCAACATGCCACTTGACGTTTAAGCAGAGTAAGAAATTGTCCGGTTAAAGGCATTTGTGGATCTTGACCGCTGTGTCCACACAAGCACATTTGAGGTCACAGTCAGAGTTGGCAACTGAAGCGAAGTCAAAAGAAGTTTGTCTGCATCAGACTCATGCAGCACACATGCTTAACTCAATTCCTTTTATTGAAATTACCTGTGATAAAGTATTGAAAAGAATTTTAATCCCCACCTACTTTAACATGTGTGAGCCCTTCAGTATTTCGAAACACAGCTACAGTAATAAAAATGCATGTCATGACTTGTCCCTTTTTTCTTTTCTTTTTTCCCCCTTTCAGGTATTTATGCTGGCTCTGACATTTCTCATCCTATTCCTTGGGAATTTCCTCACTACATTAAAAGTTGTCCACCAAAAAATTCAGACAAACCAGGGAAAGGTGCAAAAAAATGACTGAGACAAACAAACCGAAGACGCCTCCGATTCTTAACATACGGCCAGTAATTTTGAAGCAACACGTACAATCGCTTGATTGACTGACCACCAGTACAATCAGGGCCAGGGGAGGATGAAGCTGAGTGCCACTGTTTCTCTCAAGCTGTGGCGGCGGCGGCAGCAGCGTCCAGCCAAAGTATCTGGCCAACAAGCTTTTGCTTTCTAATGACTTGTCGTCGATGTCGCTGCAGAAGTCTGTCAAACACAAAGGGGCGGTCACCTGATAGACGAACAGTTTGTCGCTTTACCCTGTACATAAAGTGTGTGGAAAGAATGTGTTTTATTTGGGTGTTTGTCAGTGCATGAATCTTGTCAGAGAGCCTTTGTTTAAATATGCAACTAAAAAGAGGGACCGGTAGCACCAGTTAACAGGATATAGTTTGCCTTTTGAAGACCTAAAGTCTGTCGTGTGTGTATATACTTCATACTTCTGTGAAGTAGTAATGGTCAAACGGTCTGTGGCCTGGCACTGTGCTTCGGGCGGGGGGGGGGTTGTTTTTTTGGTTTTTTTGTGGGGGGATGACAAATGTAGGTCCACAACTTCAAAGAACACCTGACACTTTACTGCCCAAAATGACATGCAATTTCGGGGGGGTTATCAAACGCCTAAACTTGGTGAATATGAATACAGACCTAAAAACGTTTACTTATCTACTAAAACAAGGATTTCATTTCAACTCCTCCCCAGCAGGTACGTTTTTATGTTCTCTTTAACATAACGTTAGCAATTTGTATTGCATACATGGGTGTATCATGCTTCGCTAATGGTCTAAATCATGCTTCAAGCTTCTTAAACATTTTATCACAAAACCCTGATATGAGATGGTAAGATTAACACTTGAAGGAAAAATAACACCGTATTTGCTGCCCATCTTGTTATGTATTGTTGCAGAAGTGTGTTATATCAATGCTGCTATGGGCGCTGGTACTGTAAGACTAAGATACAGAATGTATCTAATGTATTTAATTTTGAATCAACATACTAAAAGTGTTTGTATGAATGAACTTATGGCCAAACCTGGAGCCTTTTCTGTAGTTCACTGTAGTGTAGTCTGGTTTGGTTTCATGTAGTGTAGTGTAGTCTGGTTTGGTTTCATGCTTGTTTGAAAGTATAACAAAGGGACTCCAAAGTTCAGATGGGTTCAGACGAACAGCTGTAGTTGGTGTCAGGCCCCTAATGCCTTATTCGCCCTTCAGCCTGTCGCAGCTCAGAAATCAAGACTGTAGCGATACATTTGTCTTGCCCCCCACCCCCCACCCCCACCCAAAGCAATCATGCTGAAGAGAATCGCAGTATTTATGTTTTAACTTTTATTAAGGGACAATTGAAGCATGTGTGAGTTACAGAACAAAATGTTACTTTTGATGCCAGAGCTGCCAGAACGCACAAAACAACTTGGTTTCCTCATTTGTCTGATGTTTAACGTTTTCATGGTTCATTTCAAAACTGGTGCCTGAGTATGGAACAGTAACAAGAGACAGTTGACAATTTCTCAATCTGTGATGTACATTGTTGTAAAAATGTAAATATATATATATATATATATATATATATATATATATATATAAAAAATTAAACAACTAATTCAAAACTCTGGCTGTTTCTGTACTTCTGTGAAGTATTAGTTTCAGTTTTACCTTCAGTTTACAGTGTGGTAAAGTTGGCCAAATTGCCAAAAATGTGGCACCAGTGCACAAATTCAGTTTTTCCAGCACTAGTGGGCGCTATTGGTAAAGATAAGAGATGTTCTTCAAGTTAAGACTGCTCCCAAAGAAATTCTAGTTCAGTGTTTTGTTTTACTGGAAATGAACTAACCGTGTTGGGTGTTGATGAAGATTGTTTGGGGTTTCTTTTCTTTTCTCAATACTGTTAAAGCTGCGGTACCATGATGTATTGAATTTCAACAACTGCTTTATCTGGGAATTTGTTATCTACCAGCAGTTTTTTTTTGTTTGTTTGTTTTTTTACGAAAACCTCTTGGATAAAAAAAAAAAAAAAATCCAAGTTGACAATACAAGAACTCACTGTGCAAATTCCTCCAATAGATATGTTTTGATTAAAATACACTGGTTTGGAAACAGTACAAAACCTTCCATCAGGAAAAAATATATATATATATATATAAAAATGACTTCTCATACAAAAGTACAAAAATACGTTGACAGAAGGCATTTCAAGTTGCATACCACTTCAGAAAATCTCCACACTGCTGTGGCTTCTTGCAAAATTGTCTTTCCTTTTAACATCATTTGTCATTTTCTTGTGACTGTGGAGGGAGATGCACTGGTGATTCAGTTGGGCCCCAAACTTACAGGGACTGATGAGAACTTTCTGAAGCAAACTGCTGTTCGGGGTGGAGTCCTCAAAGCCTCTGTCCTTTTGACTTCACAAAACCACACATTTCTTCTTCCTCTTATAGTTCCTTTGTTTGCGATTGAAGGCCAAAGTTCTTTTGGTGGCCTCTCTGAAAACGTCTTCCACATTCTCCTGATACTTTGCCGAACACTCGAGGTAGAGCTCTGCATTCATCTGCTGACGGGTCTCTTCGCCCTACAGCCCCGACCCAACATTAACACCGGGAATTAGAATGTGTGACTGTGATATAAAGGCAATCAGTAAAGACAAATGTATTTTTGGAAGGGATCTGTTATTGCATTGAAACTAGGAGATACATGTGGTAGGTGGTTATGGTACTTCCTCTTGCATAGGCCTATTTTCTACATATCAAAAAATGTCTGCACACTTCTTCTTGCCTTACCTGTGTGTAAGTGATGGGAGCCTGATTCATGGCCTTGAGCTTCCTTGCACACTCTTTATCCTTCCTGAGGTCTGTCTTGCAGCCAATGAGGATGACCGGAGTGTCCCGACAGAAGTGCTTCACCTCTGGGTACCACTGGGCGAGCAAAATAATAATTTAAGGCTCTGAGCCACTGTATTTTGCATGTGTCGTGCTTCAGGATTACACTGTTTAACAGCACATTATATGTAAGCAGCACAACATGGAGTCCTCCCTGCATGCACCTGGGTCAATGTCCACATGCAGGCTCAGCTGCTAATCATAGCTAAAAGAATGCAGCCAACACCACACTCCAACAATCATTTACAAACTAAATTTGAACAGCAAAGCTGAACCTCCAATGCTGACATTACTTGGCAGGCTGTTAATGCACCGTATAAATGATTACCTTTATCAGGACATTCTCAAAGCTGGTGGGGTTAGTCACGTCAAAGCAGACTAAAATCAGATTGGCTTCTTGGTATGAAAGCGGCCGAAGTCGGTCATAGTCGTCCTGTCCTGAAAGAAAGAAAGAAGGCATGCAATAGGTGTTAGCTGATAGTAGTGTGAAGTGTAAAAGTGAGCGTACAATTGTAAGTAACAATTCATGTGTGTAAAATGAAGAGCATGGACCAAACAAAAACTGGTCTGCTTTGCAACAGCCTGAACACACAGATATGATGTATGTTCAAAAGTTAGGGTGGATGTGTAAAACCACATCCTGGCTTCAGCTTCCTTTTCAGCTGATGCAAGGCACCCTGCTGCAGTTACACAAAAAAGATAATCTGCCAAAACAGTTCATCATGAGTTTTCCTGAAAATGACTGAAAAAACCTTTCAGTTAGTTCACATAGGAGAGATCCAGCAGTTCTGAAACACATGATTTTAGAGTGGGTTCAAGCTGGGTCTTTAAATTGATAGGATTAGGTGCCAAATCAATATCTCGATTTAGGTAGGCCCTATTACTAATACAAAATGGTCCTGCTTTTGAATTAAGACAAATAACTGCGTACGAACGCCACCTAAAATAACATACGGCAAATATCAACAAAATTCTGAATTATAATCTGCCTTTCAGTATGTGACACAACTGTAACAATACTCATATATTATTGTATGTAAAAATTGATGTTCGATACTGAGCCCTAGAGTTGTAGTGATATATATTATATTGTAAACTATTAAAAATAAAGCTCAAATATTAGTCTGACCCTGTCGATGGGTAAAATAAAAATACAGTAACTCCGCTGTTTAAAATCACATCGAACATAAAAAGTAAATTAAAGCGCACATTCACAACATTAAATAAGGAGGAACTAAAGGCACTAAATGTGCCTCTAAAGTTCATTCCAAAACAGCTTGTTAGTATAGTTACTGATTAATACACAAGCAGTGGATCAGTTCCTGAAAGATGATGATGATGCGCTGACGTCAACGACAACCTTTACCACTTCCTCTGTGTCTGTCAGTGTCAGATCGACGAGACAGAGACAGAGCACACAGTGGTGGGATGTCTGAACTTTAATATCTTAACAGATATAAAAGTTTTTTAAAAAGTCAGTCGCACCAGCGTCACCCTCTTGAGTCAGTATATGTGCTGTTTGTCTGTTTCTATTATATTCCATCCAGCGGACACTGGAGTGTGTGAGTCACTGAGCTCAGCGGACTCCAAACCTTGAGGTCTCTCCACATAATGTGAAATGTACTGTGCTGATACTACAAAAATGAATCAAAGATGTTCAACATGGAGGTGATTTTCCTTTTTTTTTGGTGAAGAGTCTTACCAGCTGTGTCATACAGATTGAGCTTTATCTCTTTTCCTCCAAGAGAGATAGTGGTGACATATTTTTCGAACACTGATGGCGCATATTTCTGTTTGACACACAAAAGAAAGATGTTGATGATACAGATATACTGTATATATCTTTTCATGTTTCTGCCCACTTATAAGTTATAGCATTTTTTATTAGTGAACACTATAATATTAGGAAATGCAGCTCACTTTGTTTATACTAAATTTGGATTGAGAAAAGGGCAGAGATATGTTCAAATTTCAACAATATTTCATATATTTCTTTATGTCTTCACAGTTATAGTAAGAAAAACATACCTGTACTCCTAAATTGATATATAGTAAATTAAGATTATTTAATATTTTAAGAGATGAGGTACATGACATGAAAGCTCTTCTTACCTCTGGAAAGTCACCTTTCGCATAAACCATCAGAAGTGATGTTTTCCCGCAGCCTCCATCTCCAACTATCACAATTTTTAGTTCATCTCCTTTTTTTGTGGTACCCTTACCGGTCGCAGCACCGTTTTGTGTCATTTCGACACCCAACAATCAAACAAGTGCCAGGCAGGACGGGGCTGAAGAAACTCCCTCCAGATTTAAGTTAAATACATGGCAAAGTCTGATGGATCTATATTTGGAAAGGCTGAGATGATTTACAGGCAGTGTCAAGAGAGAGGAACAGACGAGCCTCATGTTTCACCAGGTAGCTTGCTATGTTCACCACTTCCTGTTCCTGTCACATCGAAGCTGTTTCCAATTGACCCCCTACACTTCTCTCCTGTCCTATTATCAGTCTGCTCACTGAAAGCATCTCTGGGTAAGAAGAGAGCTGCAGCTGAGTTGCACATGTGGGGTAGATGAGTCTGGCTGCTCCTACTTCCTCTATGAAACAGGCAAGTTTCATTTTATGGGTGGGAGTTCCATCTGAGGCACTGCCTCCATAAACAGAAGTGTGTATGTGAAATGACACTATAAATGTTTTAGATTCTTGTCGCCTGGAGTTGCTCTGATGGGTGGTGAATGGGCTGGATGTGTGCCCAGTATGTGTATCTAATCTTGCAACTGCGTCATAACTTTTTAACTTTTGTGAACTTGCTTTCTCAGAAACCTGTTCGGTTAAAAGACCACTCCCTCTTCTTAGATGAAACAAACTGTAACATAATAAACCAGCTGACTGCATTTCATTTTGGGCCACCCACACTTTTCATTATCAGGCGAGGATGTTTTGAATCAATGTGGAATATTCCTTTAATGGTAATTCATTATGTCATTGTAATATATGTGGGATTCCATGTTCATGATGATTGACTGAAACACTCAATTTATGAGAAACCAAAATGTATGTGGATCAGAAATTTTAATTGATTGTATATAAGTCTTTAGCCTTTAAATAAACCTTAAGCTATCTTGCAACTAGTCTATATGCTGAATCTAATAATGCTCTACATACATGTATTTGGTAGAAATAGTGATCCGGTGTTTATTCCTGTATTTTCCCTTTTTAATGTGATCATTATGACTCCCCTGGGGTATTTACGCCGCAAGATGTCCGTCATATGTCTCTGTTCAGTCTGTATGGCTGTACACAGCAGTGACATCACAGATTGGGCGTCAAGACAAACTATCCTCTCTCTTGTCCCAGGGTGCAATGTACGGACATCTTAGGCAGCAACTAACTAATTACATGAGCAAAATAAAAGTGATTGTTTTGGAGAAAACATTTGGAGGTACAGTATGTTACCTTATTATAAGGTGGAAACATTTTATGTGCTTTTTTTTTTTTTTTAATTTAAAAAAAAGGAGGAGGCTGAGGCAGACTGGCTGTTTTAGGGCATGAGAAATAACTTCTCAGATGGTCAGCCAGATGTAGTTTGTCTAGTCATGATTAAAAGCAATTGGACAATTGCCTTTGAGTTACTACTGGATATCAAATGACCTGGATGAATTTTCATGGACATTAAATCATATGTAATAAAATTATATATAGGTTTGGGGATATGTTTCAGCCATGTCGATGATTAATAATTACAGAAATCTGATGTAGTTAGGCTGCAGTGGGTGTCAGGAGAAAGCAGGTCATAGAGAATGAGCCAGAATAGATACAAATATTGTATTTGAAAATACTCATATTCACTTAGTCTCTGGTCTGGAATATTTTCTCTGACATAAAGGCAATTGAACTCAAACTATGGTAGGACACAAAGTCAAATTTAAAGGTTAAATTTCAGCGGTCAGTGGTAGAAAAATATCCAGTTAGTGGGCAGGAGTGCTGGCAATTTGAGCAAGCTGTCCCTTTAAGAAGATAAGCTGACACTGCCCTTTACTTTGCCTATTTTAAGAAAAAACCCTAAATTCACACATATTTACTGCAATAACTTAATGAAGCAATATAGTGATATACAGCACACAGGCTAAAGATCAGCTGATTGGTGTAGAACTGATTAAAGGCAATTTGACAACAAAACTGCAAATTGCTCCCACACAGCCATGTTATCCAGCAACATGAATTATGTTCACTGTGTATTTTAGTGTAGTATGTGATATGTCATGACAGCCTAAAATACTATTTTAATTATGAGCTTAAAAATCTTTTAAAGTTAGAAATTGCAAGTCCATCAAAAGTTTCCACAACAAAAAAAACATTAAAAATTAGTGTATAGTCTATTTATTTAAACATCTCAGAAACAGACATGTGATAATATTGCCAAGTAAAAAGACACTGAATCACAAACCAACCAAACTCATAGACATGCAAATTAGAGCTAGAAAGAAAAGTCATTGTTTTAAGTAAAATAAGTACAGTACCACCAATCTGCAAGAAAAATCCTTGTATAAGCGAGTTTACCCATAAGTAGTCAAAAAAAAAAAAACACACACACAATGCGCCGATGAAGTCTGATTTGATTCAAGAAAAATCCGTCAGAATCAAAGGCTGAACATAAAAAGAAAGACAGAAAGAGAGGGCATACATGAGTCTGACTGGTTGACTCCACAGAAATAGCCATACACCGTTCTCATGTGCCCCATATGCTTCTACAGTACGATATCGTGTTGCATAGCTATGAAAAATGCCTGCATAAAAATAAAAATGAGTGCTTGTTTGACTTACAAGGTGAAACTGGCAGCCTAACATGTGCATAACGTAGCCTATAAAAAGGATAGTAAAATATCCTATACCTGTACAAAACATCCATACGTGTACAGCCCATTTTCATCAATTAATAAACAAAGAGCAATTGTCAAAAATAGTCTTTCGCCTTGCAGAGAGACAGCTGTCCAGCAGAAAAGAGGCCAATCCTCTGTGTGGAATATTCCAGTCTGTCAGCGGCGCGCAAAGCTGAATGGCGCAACCCACCGGGGAGGGTGTTTTTTTTTTTTTTTTTTTTTTTTTTAAACAAAGGCTTATAAATAAAGTCATTGCCGAATTTGAACGAAAAATGTTCACCTTTGTTACACACATAAAAAACCTTCACAACTGTGTCTCCATTGCACTGGGAGGGGGTGGGGGTCTAGCAAGCAGGGAGAGATTAATGCGGTCAACAGCCTCGTGACCTGCCAATGGAGGAACCTGCGCACTTGGCAGCCGGATCTAGGAGTGGATAACAAGAAAAACAGGCCTCTGACACACACACACACACACACACACACACACACACACACACACACACACACACACACACACACACACAAAAAAAGGGTTTAACGATGGCGCACCTGAGGACCCATTACAAGAGCTCGAATAATCCCCCTCCTGTATTTTCAACTCCTTTACCGAATAAAATATTTTTTGTATTAGGCCTATCTGCACACTTCACACACTCGATGTTGGTGATCTGCCGGTCTTTGTCTCGAGCCAGAGAGTGCACGAGCGGAAGCCAAAGGCACCCCCGGTGTTATTTTCACCCAGATACAGCACAACAGGGCTGCTGCAGAGGATTCCTGATGACCTTATATGGCAGTGTGTGGGGGCGCAGCAAGGGAGCAGCGCGCTCGAGCTCTCGTGGCAAACGTCCAGAGCTCTCGGATTACTGCCGTTGCCAGGGCGAGTCAGCCTGAATACGCCACTTTATTATTAACGTTTGCTTCTTTACACGCACTGTCGACTGCTTTTCTTCCTTTTTGTCTTCATGTCAAACATACGCCCTTTCGAGTAAAATCGCCCCTGTGTCGGTCGGTGTAAAGACTTCCTGTTGAATCACCGAGAAACGTCCTCGGGAAAGAAAAAAAACCTGCTCTCTCCCCGAGTGAACGAGCCTCACCCAGTTATGGCGCAGCAACATTTTACAGCACAGTGCTCTCCTTTGTCTGTAAAGAAGCCATTTTGAGACAAGAGAACAGCAGAGAAACCATTGAACAAGTGTAGCCTACATTTCACCAAAAGGTCTCTTTGGACAAAGGAAAGCAGTGAAATATACAAGATTTCTCCCTTTAAGATTCCTTTGCTCGTTTAAGACTTGGATTACATGTTTTGAATACTAACTGTAAGTTTACAATATCAATCAAAAAATATTGGTGACAATTTAATTTTTTACAAGAGTCAATAGCCTATAGTTTTGCTGGTAGCGTTTTAAACAGTTGTTCATGTTGTCTGTCCTCTATAAGAATACTTACATGTAGACATATACACTGGCAAATTAAGTGAAATAGCTCAAAATCCATTACCTTTTCAAAACATTTCCTTGTGGTTTAACATGTTGTAGCTCAGTTAGAAATGTCGAAATGGAAGAGGTTATAGCCTACTTGACTGCAATCCTGTCTTCAGGGGAGAGAGAGGAGATGGTTTGCATATTGCCCACACAGATGATGCTTGAAGATGCATATTCGCTGGCTGAGAGGCAATGCCTACCACTGATCAAAAAGTTTTCAAAAGAGCTCTGTCTTTCGTGCTAATGGATTCCTTCCTTTTCAGGAGACGCATTCCCACCCCTTATTAATGCCATTATTAGAGGATCCGAAGATGGAGCTGAAAACATTCCTCCTGCCCCTGCGTTTAGGCCTGTTAACTTCATTTCACCAAAGTGCTGAGGTAAATATTTTCACCATAAGAGTTTTCCCTCCATCTGTTTCCTCTTAGGTTTTACAGTCCTTTTTTTTTTTTTTTTTTTTTTTTTTTTTTTTAAACCGTTGTCGAAACTGTAAACAGGCTACCTGACTGGGCTTCTTTAGAAACGTAGTCTGAATGTGCCCTTGAAGTAAGGTCAAGCCGACGTTTACACTTTGGACGTATTTGGATCTTAAATAGCAAATGGAGAGCACAAACCTAATCGTGCTTGCAGTTGTCTCCACGGTTGTAGGGAGGGTGCAACATAAGCCATCAGTGTGTTAAGCGTTGCTGTTGTGAGAGGAAAGTGTTTAAAGTCATTAATCAAAGCAAATGGGTTATCAATCAACAGTCAAAATTGCAGGCAGCACAATAAACTATTTAACAAAAGGCCATTTGTTATCTATGGCCTGCTTTCTGTCATTTGAGGAGCAGTGGTATAAAACCTAAACTGTAGACTTTATATATGCTATTTGTAAGCATGCCAGTGAACATACTGAATAAAGTTGGCTATTACAGATCCCACCTAAAACTTCTGTGATCAAACTGATTGCTCAATAGATAAATAGACAAAATATTTTTAATAACAGGTATTGCATGCCTCACATTTTACATTAATAAACTACCAAAACTTTGAAATTATAAAAGAGTTGAACTTACTCATTGCTACTCTTATCCTACAAGGCCATATGTGCAATGCCAGCAACCAGCCATTACACAATGTCACTTTAACTGTGTTTTCTTTCTAATTCAACATCTCCAAAAACATAAAAGCTGTTTTATTCACAACATTTTGGTTTCTTTTCACATAAGAAATATAAATACTTTTATATGGGTGTGCCATGACCTAGTTAAGACAAAGATGGATTCCAGGCAGAGGAAAAAAGGCTCAAAATGTCACAGGGTATTACATCCAGTACATTCTCTTCCTTCTTCTCAATCCTTTAAAAGGAGGAATCATAGTTTTATCATAGTCCGTGAGAGATGAGGAAATCAAGTGTAAGATCCCTTTTGGAACAAAGGAAACCCATATAGGCCATTGAGTCCTGTTTTAGGAAAATGGCTGCCGAGAGCGCTCAGCCCCCTCTCTCTGCTCTCTGTTGAAGGACTCCTGAGCCGTGCTTCTAATAGCAGACAGCTCCTCTGCTGCTGCGCTCTGATTGGCCCGCCGAGCTGCCGCTGTTAACCAGCCAATTGCCCAAGCACTGCAAAACACCAGGCAATGTCAAGCAAAATCCAGTTTCTTCGACAAAATACAGTTCATAAAAAAAACTCATTAAACACGAGAAGTCCACACGGGTTTAGGATTATATAAATAAAATGTCCCGCGGTTGTTTAACACACAACAGTTTGGCACTACTCTGTTGGTCTGGATTAGACTTAACTGACTGAGCAAACCGCATTCCAACGGTTATACACGTTAGCATGGCTGCTTAATACAACACCTTAGCAACTGTGTGTCGTTTTAAATTAGCCTACTATTCCTCTGTTAGACAGTTCACACTAGTATTCAACAACTAGCTCTACAGGAGTTGTTTGTTTTCGGATATGGCCCGACATGTTTGTATTTGTGAACGTCCCAGCTCTGTCCACAAAAACCTGCGACCAAATAATTATGTTAGCCTTTAGTGGCAGTTAAGAAGATATTGCCCCCTGTGTCTATCTTGTGTTTGCCATTTGAGTAAATGCAATCGGCAGATTCCACACAAAAATTATTTAGCGGTTTAGCCACACAAAGCTGTTACCATGCCCACAATGAGCTCGTGTATACACACACACAGACGAGCACGACTATCGCGGTCGCTTAAAACATTGCAATTTTATACAAGGCGATAGCATTTTTAAGCTACCGGAGGAAATAGAAATAAGTTTGTGACGAAAGTGCGACTGGCATCAGAGGTGGGAGAGCCTAGCGGTGTATTGTGGGAGAGACAGAAGCTACAGACCAGAGGCACACAATATGTGTTGGCTCTCGCCGAAAAGGAGGCAGTATTCTTCAAGCTAAATCATGTAATGTAAGCGGCGAAAGGAAAGCGATTTCGTCTTTTCATCAATTAAAGCAAAATCACTCGATCGGACGAACCATGTCCAAGCCAGGCGAGAGAAACAGATTGAACGAAGACCATGGCAGAAAGCAGAGTTCAAGTAAGCTTGTTCTTTTTTTCCTCTTTCTCCAGCCCTCCTAATGCCTGTTTTCCGTAGCTGGGATATTCGCTAGGTCCCCGTTTTCGCTCTCACTTGGGCTACCCCTGCCACCGAAGTCATGCATCTGTAACGTTTGGCTGGTGGAAAGTGTTGGGGGCTGGTAACGGGACCGTGTTTAGCGTTGCCTCACGATAGCTCTTCTCTCCTTGTCGCTGCCTGTCGTTTCAGGTTTGGCGAACGGCATGGACAGTCATCCCGGCTGCGGCTCGGCGGAGAAGCGGAGTCACCACTGGAGAAGTTACAAGTTGATTATCGACCCGGCGCTCAAGAAGGGATCGCACAAACTGTATCGCTACGATGGACAGACTTTCAACATGCCCGTAAGTGGACCACCTTTGACGCGGCGCAACGGCTACAATAGTAACCGAGTAGCCGACCTCCATGATAGGTTACAATGTGGCTGTGTTGTCGTGGCCGGCGACGGGCATGTTTCGACATCGTGAACCGCGTGTCGGAGGTGTTCATTTTAATTAGACACCGCGTCCGGCGTGTGTAAACCTACTTTGCAACAGCCATGTGAAGTTGTGAATGGATAAACAGTATTGTGTCCCCCCTCCTCCTCTCCTACAGAACCCCGGGATGCCACCAGTGGACATCGTCCGAGACCCCAGGATCGGTCGTCTCTGGACTAAGTACAAAGAGACGGACCTACCGGTGCCGAAATTTAAGGTATCTACTCTGACAGAAAGTGTGATGCCAGCTTTTTCCATGTGGATGAGGGGGGCTGTCAGAAGTTGCAGACACACCCCCCTCACTCATCTTTGGGATGTGGAGTGAAAGTATGATTGTCGGAGGGCTGTTAAAACCAAAATAACATGCGCTGCTCTGATGCCTGCAGAGAGCTGACTGGATTTGCATGTCCATCGTAACCACTCTGGCACTGTTGTTCTTATCTCAGCTGTCAGAAATGACCCCACATGGTGCATCATTAACCCGACAGCACCTGTAACGGTAACCCCTCTCCTTCTTCTTCCAGATCGATGAGTGTTACATCGGCCCCGTGCCTCCAAAGGAGGTGACATTTGCCAGGCTGAACGACAACATCAGGGAAGGATTTCTTACCGACATGTGCAAAAAATTTGGAGAAATCGAGGAGGTGGAGATCTTGTACAATCCGAAGAACAAAAAGCACTTGGGAATCGCCAAAGTTGTTTTTGAGAGCGTGAAAGCCGCCAAGGTGGCCGTGCAGTCGCTCCACGACACGTCTGTTATGGGAAACATCATCCACGTGGAGCTGGACCCGAAAGGTAAACAGAGATCCAGCCATTTGAGGATAAGACTTGTAACCTACATTTATGCACGATCGAGCCTGCTCTCTGCTGCAGGAGCGAAACAACACTCAAAGCCAAATGCCCCCTTGTTTTTGAATTATTAGGAGGGCAGCATGTCACGTGTGTACATTTAGGCGCGTTGCTTGGTTACATTGGGTAATTTAATTTCATTGAATGTTAGTCTGCTCCCATGAGCCCAGAGCTGAGGGTGCTGTGTACTCCCACTGTGCATAATTTCAGACCTGTAAACAAACACAAAACGATCTGTCAGAGTCCTCTCCCCCTTCAGATCTCTGAAATATTAGTTAGCTGTTCCAAGTTAAGATTGAAAGGCTATTTTTTTGACTGATGCAGAACACTAACTTTGATTCATTTTTAAGACAGTGTAAAGTATTTTATTATTTGAACAGTTTTGCATTTGTGCTAGATTAAACAGTGAAATCATGACTGGTGTTATTAATTAAATTATGTACAGTTTTTACTCAGTACACAAGTGCTACTCTCTTGAATTATTCCCACAAATGTATTCTTTTTTTTATAGTCTAAATAAGAATGGTTTCAAGCAAATGTTGCATTTTGTGTAAGATATGTTAAATCTATTGACATGTTTGGGCCATGGGATTATTGCATCTATGTATCACACATAATGTTTCAGATGACCATGTCCATTAATAATATTAAGTGCACAACATAATAGAGTTTTACAGTTTACACTTCATATAAAGGCAGGCATAAATAATATAGAGTGTTAGTTAGTAAGGCGCCTACTGGTTTCAGAGTAACTTGGAAGTGTGTACTCAAAGGAAAGTGTGTGCTGCCCCTCTACAAATGTTTAGATTTGGGGTTTAGCTACAATTGAATAATCACTGGTATTTAAATCATGCCAGATGAGTTTGAATAAAGCCTGCAGGCATTAAACCTGCTTTGTAGACTTGGCATCAGACCCACGCTTGTTTACCTTCCTGCAGGTGAGAATCGCCTTAGGTACTTCCAGCTCCTGATGAATGGCACCTACACTCCGCGGACTCTGCCTGTTGGTGGAGAGGAGGCCAGAGAAGTTTCTCCTCGAAGCCTGGCAGAAGCCTTACTGGTGAGTAGTTGTATTTTTATGGTCACCGTTGAGGTTTATGCGGAAATTGCTCCCTTAATGGTGACAGTGGGAGTCAGATAATAATATAATTTAGTACAGTCTAATGGGTTTTGCAAGGTCAGCCTGGAGAACAGTTGTATATTTTCGCGTAGCTGTGATTACTGAATTGTGGCGTTTATTTTGTAGAAATCAACCAACTTGCCATTCTGAGCTGATGTCCTTATCTGTAATCTATTTTATCAGTGCAGCAGGGTGGCGGAGTAGAGCAGAAGAAAATGTTATCCTGACCCGTACCTGTGGAAATCACTG